ACACTTCTGAAACATTGAAATAATAATAAATAAAAAAAAGATGAATGTAACAGTAACAGCTACTACTAAGAAAAAACAAAAAAATACTTCTTTATTCCACAGCAAAACCCAGCTTGCTTTGTTATGGTATCTGGAAAGTATACACACTTCACCAGTCTCCCATTACAAGAACTAAAATCAATGCATATGTTAGCATGTCTGAAATAAGAACACAGAAAGAAACACATAAAGCATGTTGCTTAACTTGAGCCTCAAACTAGATTTCTTATTCTAGCAATAATTTTTAATAAAACCTTAGTTTTTATTACTGGCCTGAGGCAAATTCAACGAAGATTATGTATCTCAGGGGAAAAGCAGCATTTTCTGAAGTCAATGTACAACTTACCTGAGCACGCTGTAAAATCTGAAGCTATTTGTCCTCTGGGTAATACTAGCACAGTCCACATAATTCCCCAGCTCCTTCTCTAGCACATGATCCACTAAAGCTTCCTATCATCAGATTTTAGCTCCTCTTAAATTTGCCTGTGATGGTCCTATATCTTATTAGACAATTTCAAGAATTCTTTACTAACTTTGATTAACATAAAGACCTTGAAAGGTCCTTATGGCTCCACATTTTTATTTTGAGCTTCATCTTTTTGATCTTTAGGAGTCTCTGAGGTCTAATTCTCCTATATCATAACAATTTATGCTTTTCTACATTTAGTGTAAATGCTTTCAGTATCAAATCTCTGGGCATCTATATTCAGGTAGTGAGTGCACTTCAGCGAGCAATGCACCTTTAAAATATCATTGTGTTTTTCTCTCATTGGAATATTTTTAGAAATAAAAATAAATAAAAATTATTGTAATTGTTTTGGAAGACGCTGAGTTTGCAATAACTGCAGGGAACTCTCTGCTGAGTATTGATAAAAATATTCAAGTATCTTGGTTGATTTCTGCTGCAAGATAGATAAACGCAAGGAACCAACTGATGAGAAACATGCAAAAAGCAAAACACGGGCAGTAGATCCCTGCTATGACATATAAAGACTACAAGAGATACAATTAAACTAAAAGGAAGGACAAATGCTTAGTAATCATTATATGGTATAAATCATTAGGTAGTCACAGACAACGTCCATAAATATAGTATAAGATGCAAAATAAGAACAGCTAAACAGATCAGGATTGCCTATGATGCAATCTCACAGCCTGGTTACAGATTGAAAAACATAAGAAGTGAATCCTCCTGCAACATAAAAACTGGTTGCCTAATACTGCTGGCAAATAAGCTGTAAGACTTCCTTTCTTAAGCTTTATAAAAACAGTTGTTGTTCGTTTTCTCCTCCAACGTCTCATTAAAAAACTGTTCTAAAAACAAAACATCAGCATAGTTGGAAGGAGTCCCAAGACAGCACTCAGTCCACCCTACACCTCTGATGCATCAAACACTTCATTTCAAGAATAAATGAAGCCTAACATAGTTATTATCATAGAATCACATAATCATAGAATCACTTAGGTCGGAAAAGACCTGGGAAAAGATCATCAAGTCCAACATCAACACTACTCTACTATCAAGTCCAGCACTAAGCCATATCCCCTAGGGCCACAACTAGACTTTTAAACACATCCAGGGATGGTGACTCAACCACCTCCCCAGGCAGCATGTTCCAATGTCTGACAACCCCTTCGGTGAAAAAGTTCTTCCTTATGTCTAGTCTAAACCTCCCCTAGCACAGCTTGAGGCCATTCCCTCTTGTTCTATCACCTGGTACTTGTGAGAAGAGAACAGCACCTGCCTCTTCACAACATCCTTTCAGGTAGTTGTAGAGGGCAATGAGGTCTCCCCTCAGGCTCTTTTCTTCAGACTGAATAGTTCCAGCTCCCTAAGCTGCTGCTCATAAGACTTGTTCTCAAGGCCCTTCAGCAGCTTTGTTGACCTTCTCTGGACATGCTCCAGCACCTCCATTACTTTCTTGTATTGAGGTGCTCAAAACTGGACACAGTTCTTGAGGTGTGGCCTCACCAATGCTGAGTACAGAGGGACAATCACCTTCCTGGTCCTGCTGGCCACACTATTTCTAACACAGGCCAGGATGGTGTTGGCCTCCTTGGCCACCTGGGCACACTGCTGGCTCATATTCAGCCATCTACCACTCAGAATCCCCAGGTCCCTTTCTGCTGAGCAGCTTTCCAGCCACTCTTCCCCAGGCCAGTAGCATTGCATGGGGTTGTTGTGGCCCAAGTGCAGGACCTGGCACTTGGCCTTGTTGAACTTCTTACAATTTACCTTGGCCCATCGATCTAGTCTGTAATATGTTCTCCAGTCCTCTGTCCACACATTTTTCTTTCACAATGTTTTTTAATACAAGTTTTGACCACAGACTCTGAACTATACAGCTGCAGAAGACCTATGGCAACTCATGCCATTCAAACATTTTCAAAGTTCCCCAGAGTTCATCCTCACTGAAGGTAAATAAGAAACCCAGAGAGACTCCCTTTAGATTAAAGCTATCATGTAATGGTTGAATGAGAGAACTGGGCATTTAAAGTGCTTGAGTCTATTTTCAGCTATGCCTTTAATTGACTTGGTGAAGGTTTGGCTAATAACACCTTTCACTCCAGACCAGCCACCCAGCAGACAGTATAGATTACTACCAATGTCATTGTGACTTTTCCCAAGATCATTTAGCTTTCCAAGTGTTCTGAAACACTCAGAATAGAGGTTTTAAAGACAAATTAAATTCAGTAAATCTCTTTCATCATCTAAGTTTAGTATCACTACAATCAGCATAGATGGAAAATTAGTCGTACTAATGCAGAATAATTTCTTCTTTATTCACTACACTAAAAATTCATAATTCTAATTATTTTGTTGGATACATACCTACAACAATAAAAGCACAAATCTGGTTGAAGCAGAAGAAGCTTTGCTGAATAAACATGTTTTGAGTTTTCATACTCCTTATTCATTAGGATTTTATTAATATAAATATTTCATCTATTCAACAACCATAAGAAGGCATAAACATATTTCATATTGCTCTTTCCTACCTTAATGAAACAACCTCTTTGAAGAAATAAAATACTTTTTTCCCCAGGTACTTTACTGACAAGGTCCTACTACAGTTGCAAAATTTTTCACTGAAGACAAGCAACTTCAGGTTAAATTTCACTGAAACTTAACCAGAACAGAAACGTATACCTGAGTCCTTGTCTTCTAAGAACACGAGGGTTTATAAAGGAGTTCTACCTTAGTTTGGTCTCCATTGGTGCCTAAGTGTAGCAAGACAACTATGTACTCCAAAACTTAGTCCTTTTCTGAAAGCATCAACACAAAAATTTTTCAGCTAATAAAAAAATCCCAAAACTGAATTGGTAACTGTTTAGTGACACAGACAAGACAGTATGCAAAAACTGGTAATAAACCACAAAATCCAGTAACATTACTCTCAAATCAATTATAATTAAGAAATTTTTACACTAAGGGTTTTCCTACTTTTCTCACAGAGTTCCCCATAAAATTAGAGCTACACATTTTTTATTTCAAAATATGGGAAGATTCTGTGCGAAACAAAATATTGCTTTCATTCACAAACACTAGTAGGGATGACTGAGACAGAAAACCTTCAGACCATGCTCTTTTCTATGCGAGTCAAGAAGGTTTAACAATAAATCTAGACCATATGTCTGCTGGTTTTTGGGTACCATCAGGGGGAGACAAATATTTTGCAAAACTAGGTATAATTCTAAGTTATTATGTTAACTCCTAAAGCTCATCCGAAAGACAAGAACAAACCTGTTGGATGCTTTCAATTTACTGAAAATGCAATTCTACCATCAAGATACATGTTAAAAAAAGAACAAATCTGGGGAAAATGCACAAAACCTTAAAATCAGAAAAAGGTAATAAATTACCCTTTCTTTAGTATTGAACTACTGCCACTCTAACAAATAGACTACAGATGATGCCAAACCTCAGAATTAAGCTTATTCTATGAAATGAAGGCATGTAAAAATTGGTTTAATATGTAAAAAAAAAATAAATTGTTTTGCTTTTTTCTGCCTCTCTAATATTCTGGAAAAAAAAATAAATGAGTACATGTTTCTTAGTATGGAACATTAGGCCTGGTAATTAAATACAACATGGATAAAACCAAACTCATTTTTCCTTTGAGCTGTGCTTATTCTTGGTCACTGGGGAGGTGAACAAGACCATCTGCCATTCATCAGCAGGATCTGTCTCCTGCAGTTTTTGACCATTCTAAATTTTTGCCCATTTCATGCTTTCTACAAAATACCCCTTTCAACAACAATCCAATACTAGAATTCAAATTCTCATGAACCCCAAGGTTCATCTGATATTCACCTACACTTGCTAAGACTTTGCTTCAGTTTCTCATTGTCCTGCAGTAATATTCTTTCCTTTGGCTTTGACAGTATTATCCATTCAGGAATACTCACACAGAGTACTGCAGTGAACTTGTCACCCTGCTCTCTACACACCTCTGCTACATTTCTTTCCTTCACACATATACTACCACACGTCATCTCATTCACCTTCAAGAAAACAGTGTCTCATTTTGATGTTCCCATCACATAAAACTGACCAACTATATTTATTCAGATATAAGAAGAAGCCCTTACATGCTTTCTCATATGTTTCTCTTCATAAACTTCTATTCATTCAAAACTGTCTCACTGTAGTTTCAAAGCCTGACAACTGTTAGGCTGCTGCCATGCTAAGATCACTCTCTCTATTCAAGCTTACTTGAGCACTTCCTGGTGGTTCCCTGTATTAATGTATTGGCTCCTTACATATTTAGAATTTATACTTATAAACTTATAAACTGTGTGAATTTCAGCACACACAAGCAACACAGAGACAAAAAAACCTCTGGTGTGTCTTGTTATGGGCAGAGCACAAAAACACACACGGATGCCCTATGGACATAGAGACATCCATGGCACATGGTCATAGGTGTTTGCTGAAGAGAAATCTGAGAATTACTTACCACATTGCAGCCAGGACAGTCAGGACCATTTTCACATGTCCTACGCCGTGCCTGGATCCCTCCTCCACACTGCGCAGTGCAGCGCTCCCATGGGCCCCAGCCTGTCCAAAACACATGAGGGGGGCACAACAAATGCTCGTTGCAGTACCTGTGACAAAAGGCGAGAAAGGAGGCAAAGAAATTATTTAGTACCAAGACAAGACCTCCCCCAAAAGTCCTTCATTTGAATTATTCAGATACCTGTTTGTACAGAGAAATATTTTATACAAAGAGCTTCTCTATTCATAAAGCACTGAACTAACAGTTGTCACACTGCACAGGGTGTTTAAACACCTGAGATTTTTTTAGGCCGTAATTGCATGGGCGAAGCAGTTGTTTGCTTCATTCAGTGCTGTTATACAGCCCATGTGATACAACCATCTATAGTACTGCAAGCAGGTAAGCAAGATTGGCAACTACTTTATTAAAAACAATTGTGGCAACATATCTGGGGCATTAGTGAGTTAAACAAATGGGAGGTAACCATTTGTGCAGGCAGCCTTTTATCAGTCTCCAGCTAAGCACTGATTAGGATCCATCCTCTCTTTTTTCAGAGAGCTAAACTTTCGTTTTGCTTTCTACAGTGTCTCCACTTTTATGGTCACAATAAAAGCTAAAAGATAGATTCTAGTCATAAAGAACTGTACTGTTTTCATAATGTTCTTACTCTATCTTTTCAAGGAGATTTTTAGCTATTATAATCTTTGAAGGATTTCCCAGGGGCTGCAAACTGATTCAGAAGCCTACTGGGTTACTGAGGGAAGCAGGGATATTTTACTACTGAGCCATCACTATTGTAACAAGACATATGTATATGTGGGAGGGTCCCAACTGTTAATGAGTTTTTTCATTTTTTTGTAAAAACCTAAGCTTCCTAATTTTTTGAGCCTGTCATTCAATAACTCTGGCATAAGATGCTTAGTAAGGACTCACAGTTCCAAAGCATTTGGGCCACCAGCAAGTGTCACTGGGGCTCTTAAAGAGACCACGCTGCTATTTCAGATAAAACAGAACCTTGATAGATATTCAGAAAACAGATGATCCTGAAGGAGTGCTCTAATATTTTACAGGTGCAGCTGGGTGGCTACTACTGACTGTCCTGAACAAGCAAATAAATCTGTTACAATGTTTTTTTATTTTTTTTACACCAGCCATCCAAAATCCACTGTCTTCTTGCCCTTCGAACAAGTTTCCATCACTTTGCACTCTCCTGCAATGAAAACTGCCTCTAATCCATTTTCTACAAAATGAGAAATAACAGTATAAACCGTCATTTTCAACAAGAATAACCACAACCACTTTTACTTTTAATTTATTTTTTTTAGAAGGTCTATTTCTTCATTACCAAGGAATGTGCACATTCGTAATTCTATGGGGGAAAAATGTTTGCATGTGTTATATACAAAGGTAGGTGTGTCACACATGCTAGAGCCTGGGATTCAGAATATGTCCCTAGGTCTTAGCAACTACATCAAAATTTAAAAGCTCAGAATAGGAGTAAATAGGAGAGTGACATTTACTTTTGTGTTTCTGAATAGTTAGGGAAACTATTAACAGCTAGTATTGACCTTGTCTGCTGTTTAACAGTAAACAGTGGGGGGGGAAAAACTCACCCAAATCATCCATATTTATGAATCTGCTATCTAAGAACTCTTCAGTGTGGGATTTGAGTAAATGTCTTTCAGCAGTAGCATATACATAAACTACTACTTTTTCCTCCTGCATGTTGAATATTTGCAATTCACCATCCATATCGCGCTGTTGCTAAAGATGGACAGGAATATTCTGTGCCTGGATATTCTCCCCCAAAACTTCAACAGCTGCACATGTTCTTTGCCAAATGTAGTCATTTATGTAAATGTTTGTGATAGTTTGTCTCTGTGATCATTTGTTGAGAATGTGTACCACAGAAACATAGATGTAACATCACCATTTATGTAGTCAAACAAATACAATTTTTGCATAATTTCATTAGTTCTTAATGGAGATGTCTTAAATTAACTTGGGACACACACACAGAATAAAGCAAGTCTGCCATGAAGTTGACGATTACTGATATTCAGCCATGTAAAAAGTAAAATTAAGGGTGGGACTCATCTCACCTTAAAATATTGGCACGTATAGTATAGCTGTCCATAAATGAAGCAGTCATCTAAACCTGAGCACTTGAGCAACAGGTCATGGAAAGAAACAACCCTTTTAAAAGCATTATTTATGTCACCCTAAAGTAAATGTCTAATGTAAGTCATAGAAATACAGCCCTCAATATACTACTGATTTTTTCTCTGTTGACTATAAAGACTGCATGGGAGACAGACATCTAAGCTCTCATGACAGCCAACGGAAATTTTGTCAGTAAAGCTATGGAAACTAGAATGATTAATTCAACCAATTTTAGAAATATACAGTAGAAGGAGACGAATCACTCTGTTCTCCACAGACTGTATTGACTAGTTTTCTGAAGACCATAATGACAGACACCTAACTCACACATAAGCACTCTACATTCACGGACACTTGAAGTCAGGTGTGAAAAATCTCACTTAAACGAGATTCATGCCACTATATAGTGGATTTTTTTGTGTCCATGTGCCCTATCACCTGCTCTCTCAATTAAGCAGAAGGCAAAAAAAAACAACTAACAACTGACACAGTGGGCAATTCAAAGGTTGGCAATTCTGTTAACCAACACTATATAAAGATGAACTTGACCCTACAAGATGAAACTGTTAAAAGCCTTAAAATATCTATGCAACATACTTCCATTTAGGATTATTTTTTTTTTTTGTTAAAGACAACAACAGAATTGAGTGTCAATTTTTCCCTTTTTTAAAGGAAAAGAAAAAACCCAAAACAATGCAGCATACAAGTAGAGTCTTATTTTCATTTCAGCCAGCCAGCCTCTGAAAATACCAGGTATGTTTTCACAGCTAGAGACATCCCTGCAATTGATCTTTGAGAGCTGTGCACGGGGCTTGAAGCCAAGTTTCATTATATCTCTTCTTGGCTGCATTTCAAGTCACTCAGCAATTCTTTTTCCCTTTTGCTCTTTCTTCCCCTCTTAATTTTTTTCTCACGACACACAGGGCTAGCATTTTACAGTAATTCAACAAGCAATGCAAGAAACTTGAATCTGTGAAACCACTGCCCTCTCCCCTAATCTAACTGCTATGAGGTCAGAAGGGAGAACAGCCTAGAGACATGCGGGTTTTGTACAGTGACCCTTCCCATATACCCTTGTGGTGAATCCAAGTTCAAATGCCCTCATAAAGGAATTGTCATACTGGGGGAAGGGAGAATATTCTTTGTACAGTTGTGTCCACAACCACTAGTTCTCTTACAGTAATTTTTAAACTTTTAACTTCGGTCAATTCCAGTACAACAGAAATTACTCTTCTTGTTCCTATGAAAATCTCAACATTTAGTAAAACACCAATTTACTTCAGTGTTGCCATGCAGCATTGAGTACCACAGGGTAGTTTCATGACACTTACAAATGTGTCTTTTTCATTTCACAAAGAAGTGGTATTTATTTCAAACATATCACTCCCAGTTTTGAACTTTATTATACTAGTATGCATTTAAGAAAAACAAACTCATGATTACCAGCTGGTGATTCACTGGGAAGCACACCATGCTGAGGTTGATGGGAATGTTGGATTCCTTTAATTGAAGGCAGACACATCATGCACGCACATGCCTTACTGCACTGGGATTCAAAATCAACAGAAATCCCCACTCAGAAGGCTGTAGAAGGGGGTAGAGGCCAGGGCATGCACTCCCAGGGGCTTATTTGGAAGAAGAGGAAGGAGCAGAAAAAGCAAGGATGATGGGAGCACACACTTCCCAGCAGGTAAGACAGCCACGGGAGTGCAAGCAGCCCAAAGCCTTGTGTTGTTTGATCTGCTCTGTTGAAGGGGACCGGGCCTGTTTGCACTGCTTGGAATCAAGCACTGCCACACAGAGCAGGCACTTGACTCTCAGCTGTTCTTCGTTCTCATGGAAACAAGCCGAAAAGCTCTGAATATCTGCTAGATGACTGTGTACCAAGAAAGGGGGACAATATGTACTGCTTCTAATCTTCTTTTACACCCAAAAATGTCCAGGGTTTTCAGGTTTACTCCTCATCTGCAGCCAATTAATTTATGTACTTCTGATTTGCCATGTTTTTTTCTTCTTCCTGTTTTTTTTTTTCTTCTATGTAATAAAAGATAACCACATTCATTGAAAGGAAGGGATTCTCATTCTAATGACCCTCATTTCTGCACAGATAGGAGGGAGACCAGTGAACTTAAACAGCCCATATCCACAGCACCTTCCACAGAAAGCAGGGGAGAAACATTTTCACCCAATGAAAAAATCAAGACAGGACACTACACTCTATAAACGAAAACATAAAGAGTTTTATAGCAACCTTGGTGAATGATTCTCATAAAGGAAAAAACATAAATGTTTAAGCCCCTAAAAAATTGATCAGGATGTCTTCCATCTGGAGTTTTAACTACAAAATAATTGTATCTGATTAGCAAATTTTGTTGAAATACTATTTTTACTCCCTCTCCATCTTCTCTCTAAACATGTATCAGCTGCACTTCTGACCTATTTCTACAAGGCAAATTTGCTTTGTAATATGAGTCTTTGCAGCTCTCTCTCAACTGTTTTCCACACCCTTTTATTAGCAAATCAACTTATCTGCAACACTTTAGATTGGTAAATATAGTCATTGATTTCAAGGGAACAACGAGCAAGCACAGAGCTGCCTGATACATTCATGAGGTACCTCATTCATGAACTAAAACAAATATAACCTAGACGAATATCTAGCTCTTAAAGCATGAACAAATACTCTCAAACTGAATATGCATTCACATTTGCAGGTGAATTTACCTTAGCTATATGCTTTATGCTGGTACAGAGCTATGTAACAGTAGATATAATTTACATTTGGCAGTGATGGCTTTTTGGCTGGGCAACCTATTTTCAGAAAGCAATTTACAAACTAACAAATTGCTCTCCTCTGTGATGAAATGGCAGAGATTCATGACTCTGAAACAGCAAGAAGTGTTTGCGTGTTGTGTGATACTGATCCTTTATATTTAGAGATAGAAAGACCAAGTCCCTGAAGATCTGTTAATACAAAAATGTATGATGCAACTTCCCTTCAACAGAACTGCTTCACCTGAAGAAATGCCACAATTGATGTTTAATTAAATCCCTCACTAAAACTCATTATAAAGGTTACTGAATCTTGTTTTCATCCAACAGCGATATAGGATACTAAATCATTCATACAGAAACACTGAAGTAAGCTGCAAGTCATATTGAGTGGAAACATACACCAACACCAGTCTTCTGCTGTCTGGCTTTTTGGCATGCCTCGGGAAACAACATCTAAGAGTTGCAGTTTATCTGAATATACCCTGGTTTGATTTAAATAAATACTTAATTCCTATTAAAATTTCTAACCCAGAGATTACAAATTAAGAGACATGTAAAATCGAACCAGAGGTCTGAAATTTACATTCTGAGCTAGTATCAAAATACCCAACTCAGTGCCAAAACAGTAGATGGTGAAATCAAAATCCAAGCTGACTTAATAGCTCAGGAGTTAATATATGCAGACACAATTAAAAAGAAACCTGAAACCTTACCAAAAGATATTTGAGTTCAAGGTATATTATATTTATTGAATATAAAACAAAGTCCTTGAAACTTCATGTTATATAGATGCTTAATTTATTGAAGGCAGAAAAAATATGAACTCACAGCATCAGTAACACAGTGTTGTGACCTTACTATATTTTGCTCTGGATTCCAGGTCTTGAGTCTGAGAGAGTTACAACTCAAACACATTGCAATCAGTTTTCAAGGAGAATCAATATTCAGGGTCTCAAGGGACAGCAGCACATTGTTTCAGCACAATTCTCTGGCACTACCAGGAGCTCTCAGTTGGCTCAGGAGAGATGCAGCTAAGTGAAAGATGAAAGAACTGCTGCAGACCCACAGCCTTGCTAATGGGAATACTGCTGCTGTGCTGCAGTGGAGTTAAAGGGTGAGTGAAAGGAAAAGGAACAAGAAAACAAGACAAGTAAAGAAGAAAATGCCCTGTGGAATAAAGCTGAGCAGAAGAAATTAAAACAGACAGCAGGAAAAAAGATAACTCACCTCTCCTCACGATTCTGTCCCACACAGACGCGTCCTCCATGCCGAGGGGTTGGGTTGCTGCACGAACGCTGACGAACTTGAAAGCCTATTCCACAAGTGGTACTACAAGGTGACCAAGAAGTCCATGGTGTCCAGCCTCCATTTCTGGTAGAATAAAAAGCTCAGGCTCTGTCATCTGTTATACATAGCGAATGGCTGATTAGGTGTGACTGTCAGCAGAAGCTGGCCCATTAATATTTCTGTAGAAGTCATAAATCCTGCATCCCATTCCATTTCTTAAAGAATATTGTACTAAATAAAGGTGCTCTAATCCTTCCATATTCTATGCTTTGTTATCAGCGACTTCTAAAATGACCCCAATGCAGAAAAAGTAAAGTACAAAGACACGAAAGTGGTTAGTTTTGGTTACTTTATCCTGAGTAAACTTCATCTCCAAACTTCTGTATCAAAGTTCTGAAGAGAACTTTTAGTTGCATATTGTTCCAACTATATTTTGTGAGTCTTTTTTTTCAGGGAGATTAAAATGTTGATTTTTAGTACCTCTTTTGAAAGACAAGTGATTAAAGCCTGGAGAAAAGAAGAATGAGGGAACACCTTATTGCTCTCTACAACTATCTAAAAGGAGGTTGTAGAGAGGCAGGTGTCAATTTTTCAAGTAACAAGGAATAGAACAAGAGGAAATGGCCTCACGTTGTGCCAAGGGAAGTTTAGACTGGTTATTAGGAAAAATTTCTGCAACAAAACGGTTGTCAGGCACTGGAATAGGCTGCCTAGGGAAGCAGTTGAGTTACCATCCCTGGAGGAATTTAAATGACATGTAGATGTGTTGTTTAGGGACACGTTTTAGGGGCAGACTTTGCAGTGCTGGGTTTATGGTTGGACTTGATGATCTTAAAGGTCTTTTCGAACCTGTATGATTCTAAAGGAAAAAAAGTAATAAGTAAGCATCAAAATACTTTAATTCACAATTTCAAGAGGATACTCTGATAAGGTGTCAATACCTTGCTATATAACAAAAAAGCTACCAGAATTTGCATGCTGTACACTGCATTTGTGCACTTTTGGAAAGGACACTCCTGTCACTCCCCAATACATACTAGTCAAAAAAAAACAACAGTAGACCAAACATCTCAAAAGGAATTTCATATCCTGTCCTAAGAAAAAACCAATGTGCTTCAGCAGCTCCCAAAGCCTTTTGATGGCTAGTTTGTAGTTTCTGTATTGGTAAAAGAGAAACAGAAATCAAGAAAAATAAAAGTAAAGTATAATGAATTCTTGAGGTTTCAACATAAAAGTTACAATACTGCCACACTAATTAAATCAAGTAATGAAAATTATATAAGATAATTCAAGTAATTTATCACAAATTTTACCAATTTAAATTCCACTTATCTTGGTATCTTGCTATTATAAGGGCTATAAGGATCAAAAACATATAAAAAAAAGCTTTTGAAAAAACAATCAGCTATCACTGGTAACAGAGGCAAAAAACCGTAAGGTCTCTGTCAGTATAATATCTGACCCAAGTCATAAAATGAACAAAATATCTGGAGATCCATGGGTTCTGGGAACCAATTACTAATACGGCAGTGTTAACTGAAGTAAGATGCTAAAATAATAGTGTAATATCGCCAGTGGTACTACATGAAGCAAGTCCCAAATCACGTTCCAAATTGCCCTCTAAACCAACAGCCAGTAGCTGCTGTTTGATTGCTCAGTATCTCACAGCATACTTTTATTTTCCACAATTCCCTTGATCTGATGTTCTATACTATATTGCTGTTTTTAATAATTTACCTAACACTGACTATTTTCACTTACAGAACTTGCAGTTATCTTGTGCAGAAGAATAATCAGTTTTATCCACTACCATGATGTGCTTCTGATGTTAAAAACCAAAAACCAAACCAAATCCCAAAAAACCCTGATAACAAAAAACCAGACACAAAACCCAGAAAAAATCACTGAAAATAAGCAGAATGCAACAGTATATAAGATTCATCTTGCAATTAAAGTATGTATAATGTATTAAACATGAACTCCTACTGCAGTTCAGAATAGGCAGTGTTCTGAGTCTCTTTGAAATAATCTGCTCTCACTGTTCTGGGAGTGGTTACATGCCTACAGAAGACAAAAGAGAGGCTAAAGAGTGGCATATAAACTAGTAATAGATCTGGATGTCAGGACACAACCAAAAGATACAATGAAAACATTTTTTCCCAAGTCAGAATGGGATAATGCAATTGTGACATGAGACCTTCAAAAAAGCAAACAGTTCTGACTTCCAGAAAAAGCTTTATGGCTTACAGACTGAGAAATAATATCATACTTTGGATATTTCCTTGCATGATTTTTTTACTTCTGAGCTTTTGTTCAAATTGACTGAGGACAATGGTATTTGCTACACAGCATTTGAAATCACTTCTTGCCATTTGGCTCATTCTTTCTTCCAGAAAGTCTCAGAGATACTTTTTAATGTCTCATTTGCTGGGGCCATTGCAAAGAGCTGTTTCATGCACAGAACAGGAGCAGTGGTTTGCAGATGGGATTTCAAAGGTTAGGCTCTATTCTGATTAAGTGAAAAACATTCACACCATAAATTATATAACATGAAATGGTTTTGTGTACCTGGAACAGTTGGCAATCTCCATGGTTGGTCCTTCACACAGCCAACCTCCACACTGAGGAGCAGGACTGTCACACACACGTGTCCTGCAGAGGCAGGAGCCAACACTGGCACCGTCACTATGGGTGCAAGGTTTCCACTGCGACCATGTTCCAAAATGCCCATCCACTGTCAGATTCCTCATCTGGTGACAAACACAATAGAAAAGCTCACCTGAGGCCTGACAGATCCTTCATACTACCTCTTAATTCTGCAGTACATGGAGGTACAGCCTTCAGCCAACAATAAAAGCCTTCACTGGAAAGGTATACCTTGCAGACAAAAAGCTCCTTTGAAAGTTTCTGTGACTGCATAATTCCCACCACCTCCAACTAATCCGGGCCACTGGATGCCATCATTATAGCAGCAAGAATCATTGCAGCTAACTCTTACCTTTCACAGCCATGCTTGCCTGTAGTAATTCACTAGAAAGTATATATTCTCTTTCCTCATTATCTTCTGATGACAGTATTCCCTAGTTCCTAAAATTTACCTGCGATTAGGAGCCTGGATACTCACTGTAAAACAGCATGTGCAAGAATACTTGCAGAAACCCAAATCTAGATCAAATAGAAGAGGTATCAGAGGGTAATAATCTAGAGGAACAAAACTAGATGTATCAAACTGAAATCTCTATGATGAGAGTCTTTTTTGACAACAGTTTTTTGAAGCACATATCATATAGCAACACTTCATAAAAGTGAAATGTGGTTTTAAATTAGTCCCTCTAAATATTTGATTTAATTATACATTTAAATAGGAACTACACTTGTACATGGTCATGAATTATATGAAATAGTGTCTCCCTTTGCTGTTTTAATATTGTTTCATTTTAACACTGGTGAGGGAAGTATACATTTCAATAACAATTTGAAGATACAAGAAATTAATTACAGCACAAGACATAACTTCCACTGCCATGCTGGGTGCTGGTTGATTCTTTCCACTGTGGTAAAGGTTCAATAATTTAACTATTAATTAATTTTCTCTTGATTTATTTTTCACAGATATAGCTTCTCCACAGCACAGCTATGTGTTTATTCTGCCAGCTACAACTGACATAATTCATAATTTCAAAATTCTGCTGACAGCTGTTCATTGAAAATAAGTCACTGCTTTTTGCTCATGCAGAGTATACTCTGCTATTTTTCACGAGACAACAGGAAATACTTACTTTTTCTTAAGTGACAAGTAACCCATTCTCTCTTACACTGTGGGTCTAACAAATGTATAGTCTATGAACTAGCAATGATAGGTCCCCAATCTAATTAATGGCAGAGATGTGAAAGTATCTTTACTGCTTTCTATTTCTATGCTGCACCAAAGCATCTTTATTATTGCACCTACAATTATAAACTAAACATACTGTTGTCTATGGTTACCATAATTTGTATCAAGTGGCACAGTAAGTATTTGTAAAACTTAGCTGAAAGCTTGAGCTAAGGACATACTGATGGCAGGTTTCTCTGGATTTTTTCCCGCTAATACTGTAAAGATCATCCCACTGCAATCTCTGCAGTTTCCCATGACTCACCTGCTCTGTCTCTATTTTAGTGTCTCCCTTTCACAAGTGATATCAATTTCATGACAGGACTATAGGAAAGCAAAAAGTACTAATGAGAGGCCTTTTTAGCCCTCACCAGAACGTATGCCCATTAGCCCTTAACCATCTGACACACTTCAAGAGGAAAACCACAATCAATCAGACAATATTGGCTGTACTTTCCTAGCACCACTACTCCACTTTCCCCCTTTACGATCCTGTTTTTGTCACCCTTTCCCTTTTGCAGATACTTCTAGTCCTTTTCTTCTCTCCTAATGTCCTCCAAGTATCAATCTCCTTTGTTTTGTGTATCTCTGCACCCATCTTGTCTTCCTCATTTTTGCCTCTGCACTCAGAGTCAAAGTCACCTCTTCAGTGACTCAGTCCTTGAATCTGCCATGAGCAATTGGGTTTGAGATTAGTGTGTGTAGAATGCAGTGGGTCTGGAGTATTTCCTGAAGCTGCTAATGAGTTCTGGTAAGATCCCATATTACATACTCTTTCTCTGCATGCAGCTGTAAAAGTAAAGTTAGTTCACGTTGTCTACTTATGTTTTAAAAAACCCTAACTTTAAAGTAAGTATTTTTACTCTTCTCATAAAAGTGCTTTGATAATGTCAGACACTCTGTTTTTAAGTGATGGATTGCAAGTGGCCTCACTGGAAAATATTTTGGCAAAACAATGAACCTTCATTACTTTAAAAAATACTGGATGAATAACTGGGGTATCAGACCAACTAGATACATGCCATAACATTTATTACTATCTGTATTCATGTGCAATTGGTGTACTCAAGCCAACTGAAACAATAATGTAAAAAAGCAACTTGAGGATTAAATCAAAGCAAGATAACAAAAATAACCACATTGGTCAAAAGGGATCTTTGAAGTTCAGAGAAACGTTAACAAAGATGTCAGCTGCCTTTCCTAGTGCCCTCCCTGCTCTACCATGACATGCTGATAAATATTCAGATACACACATGCTTCCTTAGGAAATAATTCCTCAAGTCACACTTTTAATTTTGGGCTAAGCTAGCATATAAACAGGCCTCTCTGATCTGAGTTTGGAAAAAATGACAAATATTCAATAGTGTTAAAAAGTTAAGTGTAGTTTTACTAAGAATTAAGATAATGGAGCCTGTAGAGGGAGGGTGGAAGGTTTCTAATATTCTGTTATGTTCTGCATGCAACATTAGCCTAAATGTATACAGCAACTGTTGGAGATGCACATAGCTCAGTTGCCTAAAAAATGAAATACATTACATCTTGGCTTATATAACCTGTGAATCCAGCACATAAAAATGCTATAAAAAACAAATATTTGAAAGACTCACTAAGCAAAATTGTAATTGATTGCAGTTTGCCAGAACGCAGCGTTATTTTAAATGAAAGTTTCTATGAAGTTTTCAAATCTGCTCATTAATGTGTACTTAGAGTTTAGGGGGTTAAGACAGTAAGTCCCCAAGCTTTTCAGTTTAGATAGTTTATTCTAAAATTTTCTTTATATTATGCAATCTCAGTCTGCTCAACTACAAATTCTTTTGGATTCTCACAACATCTTTTCATCTCTGATATGCAGTATAAGCTGTGGATGAATTTCTGAGCAATCCCTTGGTGCTCCCCTGCTTTGATTAGATGGTTATATCATAGAATCACAGAACTACTCAGGTTGGAAAAGACCCTTGGGATCACTGAGTCCAACCATCATCCCTACTCTACAAATTTCTCCCCTAAACAAGATCCACCAACACCACATCCAAACAACCCTAAAACACATCCAGGGATGGTGACTCAACCACCTCCCTGGGCAGCCTATTCCACTGTCTAACCACTCTTTCTATGAAAAAAAAATTCCTAAATGTCCAGTCTAAATCTCCCCTGTTGCAGCTTGAAGCCATTCCCTCTTGTTCTGTCGCTAATTATCTGTGAGAAGAGACCAGCACCAACCTCCCTACAGTGTCCTTTCAGGTAGTTGTAGAGACTGATGAGGTCTCCCCTACACAACTGTCATCTAATAGATACTAAATTATTGTTTTTCCAGTTGAATGTATCTGGATTGATGTCTGGTTTCGAAAGAATTCCTCCCCTTCTCCTCTACTCCCTCTTGGCTTCATGTTTTATATCTATGAAATAAAATAAGGGCTAACACCAGAATTCAAAAACTAAGCTGTAGGCAGACTGCTCATGCAAATATCAACCAACTGACTCACTTCAGTAATGCTTCCTAATACAGCAACCCACCTAGGCCACCAGCAAACCTTCCAACATCACCACATTTAGCCTGTGGAATTACTGCAGGAGAAATTATAAACTCCATGTATTTGGAAATGAATATACTGTACAGTACATCTAACTGCCTGCGAATCAGGGAGGCAAGGACTGCACTAGTGGTTGAATCCAGAGTTTCTGAGAGACAATGGGTATGACTATATTAGCAATATATATAGTGGCATGAACACAAACTGCAAATGTGGAAAATAAAGCAGTTGGTGTTGAAGACCTGACACATACACTATGTGTATTTTGTGGGCTTTACTTTAGACTCACTCTGGCGATGGATCAAATGCTTAGTGGTAGGTGGAGCACATTTTTGGTTTAATTTCATCTGAAAGTCACATGGCTTGTGAGCTTCAAGACTGCTCTATGATGTGAATTGAAGAATAGCAGATGGGAAAAATCAGAATATTTGCCCCAAATGTGCTCCTGATTTGAGCAAAAATGCTAATGCAAATGAATCCTTTTTTATTAGGCCACTATGTGGGAGCACGGATACAAAGGACAGGACAAGATATTGGTTTACAAATTACTATTCAATGTCGAACACAGAGAACACCTCAGAATCAGTGCAGTGGTTTGTATCTATCAGTGCAGTGGTTTGTGTCTATCAGGCTGCTGCAACACATGTGAGATCACAAGTGAAAGCGGCAAGAATTACAGGTAAAAACCAACTATCCTTTGACAGTATCATAAATTATTTGCTCACATAAGTAGTTTGATAAGAAATAGAAAAAAACCTAAATATCCTGTTAAAATCTGATGGGAAGGCCTGGGGAAAATGACATTAGATAGTTTTCTGAGTTTGAAGAATGTATGTCAGCTCATTTTCATTAAATTCACATGGAATTAAAAGTTATAAGAGATAAATTAATGTATTTGGACTTACTGGACACACAGTAATGCTCTGCTCCCATTGGCTCATGCTCAGACTTTCTTCCAGCGTTGTACATTTCTTCATCACCATGTCCCAGCCACAATAAGGGTCCTGAGATCCAATGCATGCACTGTGTATAAAAAACAATCAGAAAACATGAACATTAATCTTCATCTGTACTGTCCAAAGAGCTCTAAACTATGTGACATCTCTTCGTATTTTACAGGCCTAAAACAGATAGTGAAATTGATCCCTGTTGTGATATGGCACAGATGAACGGACAAAAGAGATGAAAAATGAATTTGAAAGTCTATACAAAGCTAAGAATTTGTCAAGTGCATAGCTGAAACTCTGGCTGCACATATAGTATGTCATTGAGACTGATTACTGTACATAATAACTAGAGAATTACAGCAATTCATAAAAAGTGTATGTTGTCTACTTCAAGTAAAAAAATATTTCAGGAGTTAGTCTTTTCTATCACTTCTGGAATGAACAGTTATCATCTGCGTTGGAAATCAGATGACAATGTCTACACTTCGAAAATTAATTAGAAAACACACTGATTTTTTTTTGCACTGCTATAGAATTCCTGAAAGTAAGTTCAAAGGGGTGCTGGTGGTTGCCATCACACCTCTTACATACCACATGCTGCCCTACATATTCCCTCCCAGTGGTAAATGAGGAGGAAAAAAAGGTTAGAGAGAGGGATGGTAGTCCAGCTTCCTACAGATTCTGAAAGATCCATTGTACAAAACTAGAAGTTATTTTCTCTACTAAATGTCAGCTTTATCTTGCTACTAGTAGATCAAACATTACCAGTCCAGGCAATAGGTCTGCAGCTTCACAGCTAAATATACCTAAGAAAGGAGGTGGAAATCCCATCATTGTGAAGCATAATGTAATTCTTTGAGCACTTGTAAAAATACCTAAAATTATACATAAATATAACAAATTCAAATATTTTGTCTAGATTATAAAAAATCCAAGACTGATCGTTCTTGTTCAACTCAAATCCATGGGCATCATCATCCTCTCTTTAATTGTCTGTTCACATCACATCAACCCAGTGAAGGTCCACAAAGATGATTAAAAGACTGAAGCATCACCCCTATGAGGAGAGGTTGAGAGAGCTGGGTTTGTTCAGCCTAGAGAAGAGAAGGCTGAGAAGGCATCTCACCACTATATAGAAATACCTGAAGGGATGGTGCACAGAAGGGTGAATGCAGGATCTCTGCAGCGGTGCCCAGTGATAGGACCAAAGGCAATGTGCACAAACTGAAAAACAGGAGGTTCTCTCTGAACATCAGGAAACACTTTTATGCTGTGAGAGTTAGTGAGCACTGGCACAGCTTGCCCAGAGAGGTTCTGGGGTGTCCATACTTGGAGATTCTAAAAGCCATCTGGACGTCGTCCTGGGTAACTGGCTCTAGGTGATTCTGCTTGAGCAGGAGGTTTGACCAGATGACTTCCTGAGGCCCCTGCCAACCTCAACCCTTCTGTGATTCTGCCTTCACAAATCCTGTGTCTTATTTATATTTCTATTTATCTCTGGCATTCCTCATGTAGTTCCATGCTAACATCAGTCAAAATGCAGACTTACTAATTCCCTAGCGTGCTTCTTCATATTACAATCACAGAGGATTCTTAGTGCTTATACATTTCAAATAATTTGTTTCTACAATACACTTGGCAACATGGATTGCCAGGACTACATGGGAGGGTAGGTCCCATTGACAAAATGGGCTCAAAATAAGAGACACAACAGCCAAAGCTCCCTAGGTACCCCTATAGGCTGCCAGTTCAAAGATAAAGCTTTTGGTTTAGGGGATTCAGTGTTCAGTGTTTCCAGTGATGGTTCTGGCAGCTGTGAGCACTTTAGCATTTTTGTCACTCAGGCTGCATATGTTTCCATTTGACTATCTAGAAAGTAAGCTGGAAAATCAATGCAAATTATGGAAAAATGTACATGTCTTGGTCTTCCAGTTTTTGCAAAACAAGATGTTTAGTGCTCTTCAGAGTATATCTGATGAAGCACATGTTTTATGAAAAAATAATATAAAACAATGAGATAATGCACAATGGGCAACATTAGCTGTGCTGTCTCTCAAAGTAGAAAGGCTCACTTTTCCAAATTCACTAAAATTTTAAAATGCAGTCATTATGCTTAAGAAACTTTTTATTAATAAATAAAGTATTTTTAAAAGTCAATAACCTTTTACTTAGAATGACACTCCCACTTTCCTGGGAGTTATCTGATCCTTCTTCCACTCTGCTTTTAGACAGTATTTCCTCTTTTGCTTTTGTTTTCACATTACTTTGCACTCAGGCAAATCAAAACATCTTGCACCTTTCATTATAAGTTGCTAAGAAGTTATAAGAAGGGCACTGAAAGCATATTTCAACAATTCTTATAGCCTTCTGGGATCAGAAAAGACCCTATTTTCATGGAACAAATAAAGTTTAAAAAAAAAAAAAAAGGTGTAGAGTCCTTGTACTGCTGGGACAAAGCACTGTTCAATCACCCCGTGGCAGTGAACATGGCTATTTTAGTAAATGACCAGGCTTGGAGAAAACAAGGTGAATCTTTTCTGAAAAATGAGAGGCATTAACAGTCTTCAATAGCTCTTTTTTTTTTTTTTTTTTTTTTTTTTTTTTTTTTTTTTTTTTCTTTACACTACAATATATAATTGAATCCTGGAAACATATGAACAGGAAATTTGGTCTGAGAAGTATTCCTCACATGAAAAACCCTACTTTTGCCTTTTTTTTTTTTTAATAATGTTCTAATTTATTGTCCCAGTCATTATTCTAAGTCTCATTTTGTAAAAAGTTTGTTTTTTGTAATCTATTCAGACAGAAAAATGATACCATGAAAGTGTAGTTCAGCATTATCACCCACTTTCACAGAGTTCACCATGAGAGATATATACATGCAATGAGGCAGGACCTGGCTTAAATAGATGCCCTTTTTTAGGTATTGGCACAACAGCTCTTTTCTGCTCTCCTCCCTGTCTCACATCTTAGAGGGTTTTCTTATTTCTTTCTTTCAGATCTCTGCAAAGGGGATATATTTTCTTTTAAAGAAAAGAAGAAGAGAGGTAATATACAAGTAGATTTTTGTCTGTACTTGCTTAATTATGTCACCTTTTAAAACCACTTTCTTTCCTTTAAGGTATAATCTAATGCGTGATTAACAGCAGTGAATTATTTTGAGCTGCTATGCCTAGATTAAAACATTTAAAAATAATAAAAAAAATTACAGACAGAAAATGAGGATAAAGTTTGTAAGTATGAAAATAACAGAACTTCTATCTGAAATGTGAAATTTAAAGGGGCTATTATTAATTTACAATTGTGTGTCCTTACATTTTTCCATAAATGAAAACTTCATACTGTTTTGACTCTTTTTAAATTAATCTCTCTCCCAAAAGACAGCAGTAAGAGGAACAGCTTCTGTGTACTCATGAAATAACAAAAACCTTATACAAAATGGGTGTAATTCATGTAAGTAAGGCAAGTAGAAAATTAGATACTACTATACATCTTTATCCCCTTCTCCTTCCAAATCTCTGTCTAAATGAAAACCATTGTAGATGCTGCTATTGAAAAATTAGATCCATTTTAGAATTAGCATTTGGTCTTTCAGTTGACAGGACTCTTTCATGTAGTGATACTGGAAGTAGAAGACCTGGATAATGTATTAGTCATCTTGTCACTAGAAGTCTAACTTACCTCTATAATTGAGAGATGCAAATTAATGCTTTGTCTGTTACTCCCAGTAGGCACCAGCCCACATTTCTAAGACTTTGCATGGTTTGTCCCGTTTCTGCTAAAACTGGCAATTTTGTGCAGGAATGAAATTCAGGAAAAAAAGTGAATTGGTTCATTCCAAGACTGTCTTGATGCCACTTACCCTACTGAGTCAACACCCTCTACAAAAACATTCAATAGCTTTTGGCTTCTACTGATTATTTCTAACTTTCCTCAATGTTGTCATTTCACATTTCTTACCAAACATAAATGATAGGTAGTTGAGTGTCTTCCCTTCAAAGCAGTAATTTGGCTGTGATAGTTCAGTGTGCCTACTGACAGTCATGCAACACTTAATCAATGGATTTTGACTGACAAGTAACAAAACTGTAAGTCATTTGATTCCAAGGCAAGCCAGCAATAAGCAGGTCATTTTCTTCAGCTATTTTATAATTATCACCGAGCAGGCTAGCAAAACTGCTCTGCTTCAGTTATATTTGAGATGATTTATTCAGACAGGAAATAAGGCAGAAATTAACGTCATTTAGAGCAAAATATATTAAAACTCATACAGTTTTAATTTGTTATGAGTGCTCCAAAGAACAAAAAAACCTGTAAGATTAAAAGCTATGTCCTGATACTGTTGATTTTGAAGAGATTTTAAAATCTTCTGTCAGAGGAAGAAAATATTCCCACCTCAATATACACTGTAAGTGCATGAATCTGATCCTAGTCTTCTGTACCTATCAGAGGTTTTATTACTAACGGTTTTGTAGATACACACATACATACATACATACTTACATACATATACACATACATACGTGTTTGCAATGAAGAACAAGGATCTAAAGATACACACGAATGATGTAGAAGGTGCATCTAGGTGCAATTCAATCTTGCAACATGTATTTAAAATACTAAATCTACAAGCTCCTCCCTTCAAATACAGAATCAGGAATGCAGGTCTAATTTGTTTAATAAAGTTGTTTAAAACACACATTCTCCAAATATTGACACTTAAAGTGGCAAAACAACTTTCAGAGCACGCTCTGTACAAGAGAATGCAGGATGCAATTCATGGTAAAGAAGTAACATGTGAGGTCCACCATCTATGTCATTAAGCCAAGACAGAGCTCCCAGCCTCCAAGATTAGGAGATAGAAGCCTGGAAATGCTGGGACCACCATGTGCAGGTAGAGTTTTCAAAGCCCTTTTGATGGGCTGAATTTAGAGCCTACAAACCTGTGGTTTGCAAATAGGTTCTGTAAATCTGAGCCACCTAAATGGCAAGACAAGCCAGGAGCATTGGATCTGGAGATTTTCCCACAAGTTTTTGTGTTGCTATATGAGAACAGCAATGACAGTGATGGCCCAG